AACATTCTCAGCAGAATAAAAAGAAGATCCTGAAGTAAGAATTTCCAGAATTTACCTTAGCAAGAAGTCTGGGATGTAATGAGGAAGAGAGAAAGTAACAGATGAGGTCAGAAAGTTAATTAGGGAGAAGGGAGTAAGGTGGAACAGACTACATAGGTCTTTACAGGATAATAGAAGAAATGTAGGTTTTATTTTGAGTGAGAGGGAAAACCACCAAACAGTTCTGAGAAGAGAACTTCTGTTTTAAAAGGAACACTCTGGCTACTGTGTTTATTTATTTATCTATTTTTTTGGTACGCGGGCCTCCCACTGTTGTGGCCTCTCCCGTTGTGGAGCATAGGCTCCGGACGCGCAGGCTCAGCCGCTCCGCAGCATGTGGGATCTTCCCGGACCGGGGCACGAACCCGTGTCCCCTGCATCGGCAGGCGGACTCTCAACCACTGTGCCACCAGAGAAGCCCTGGCTACTGTGTTTAGATGAAGGGGAACAAGGTCAAAGGCAGGAAGACTGGCTAGAAAGCTATGGAAATACTGACAAGAGATCACAGTGGTTTGGACCAGAGTAAAAACAGGTGGTGAGAAATGGTCAGATTCTGTCTATATTGTGAAAGTAGAACCAACAAAGTTTTCTGATGTAGGTTATAAAAGAAGGTAAGGATTTGAGGCTGACTCTAAGTTTTATAGCCTGGGCAACTAGAAAAACAGAGTTGACATTAACTGACAGGAAAATCTGTGGAAGATGTAGGTTTGGAGAAAGTATCTTGAGTTTAGTTCTGGATGTGTTAAATTTGAGATATCTATTAGATATTCAAGTAGAAATGTTAAATAGGATGCTGGAGTTCACTGGACAATTCTGAACTGCCAGTATAATTTGGGAGTTATCAGGATATAGACAATATTCAAAAGGGCTTGAACTTGGAAGAGATGTCTAGGCTTGGAGAAGGAAAGAAGTTCACGGGCTGAACCCTGAGATGATCCAAAATTAAGAGGCCAGGGAAAAAGAAGTATCAGGAAAACCGACCAATGAGAGGGGCAAGAGAAAAAAAATCCAGGAGTGTGGATGTCAAATGAAGACTGGGCTTTAGACCAAAGAATTGATCCACTGTGTCAATGCTGCTAAAAGGTAAAGTATGACAAGGATATATAACTGACCACTAGACTTAGCAACATGGAAGATTACTGGAGTTCCTGAGAGGGGGCACCTTTGGTAGAACAGTGGGTATAAATGCCTGCAGAATGTGCTGTTAAGAGAGAGTGCTGTTAAGAGTACAAAATCATGAAAATCGCTGTTTCTTAATCATACTTTTCTTCAACATGAATCCACTTCCTTCTAAAAGATTCTTTTTGGAGCCCTCCAACATCCTGATATAAATTTAGTCTACTTGTTTTCAAGATCCAACTACTTCTGTGCTAACTTCTGATGGTACTTCTGAGTTAGGTCCCCTCATTTGAAACCCATGTTTTCCTTTCTTTTGTTTGTTTGTTTTGGGAAGGGGTGTGCATTTGTTTGTTTTGTCTTTACTAGAAGATCTTCAAGTAATTGTTTCAGGAATTTTATTTAAGGAGGTAAACACTGAGTCTTTGCATGTCAAAATATTTTCATCTTTCCCTTACACTTTGGATATAGGTCAAAACAAAATCATTTTTTACAAACTCTAAAAGGCAATGTTTTCTAAGCATCCCATGTTGCTGTTAAGAAACTGTTCTGCCAGTTTATTTCTCATCCTTTTGTAGGTAAACAAATTTTTCTCTTCGAAATAATTAGGATTTTCTCTTAATAAACAGTATTCTATAATTTCGCAAGGACTTTCTTAGACCATTTAAAAAATTTCTACTGCATAGCCCTAGTAGGGCTGCTTTAATTTAAAGGCTTTCATTAGATTGTCTCAAAGATGTCCTGTTTTCTTTTCCTTCCTATTTTCACTGTATTTGGCCCACGTGGTTTAATCCTTTGTCTCTAAACTTTTCTTTCTCATTTTCAATTTACGGAATGGTAGCTTTCATCTGCTTTAAATTCCAGCCTTCCAATATTCTCTACAATAATTTTTGAAATTTCTTGCACTTTCTTATTCCCTTCTTCTTCTATCATCATCATCATTTTCAATAGTGGCTCTTGTCTTATGAATAAAATGTAGACTAGAATCTCTCTGTAGACACTAATTATCTCTATTTTATCTGAGGCCAGCTATGTAGACAAATGTAACTTGTTCCTATCTCTGAAGTATAAAAGAGAAAACAAAGCAAAACAGGGAGGAGAGGATAAAGAATAAAGACCTAGCTGTGTGTCAAGATTAAAATGATTAATTCATCAGTGCCAAATTTGTATCTAAAGTTTATTGGGAACATTTGGTTTCTGAGTCTTCTCTAAAGAAACGTTTCCTTTGCTACTACTATTCACCTAATAAGTAACATATGATTCCTCTCTACTTGTGATGATTATTCATCTCAAATGCTGTGGAATCTTCATATACGTCTTCCTAATTGTAAAAACAAAAACAATAACCAAAAAAAAACCCCAAAAAAACTCCATAAATATGCTGCTGTCTAAGAATTAAAGGAGTTAATCAGGGAAGTATTAATTCTAGATCTTCCAGTTATTTACCTAGATATCATCATTTATAATTTTAACTAGGATAGTACACCAGCAGCTCTAGATAGGCAATGGAAACAACCTTCAAAAGAATACAAGGAAAAGCATGGGTATGGGGTGTACACTTCCCACAGCACAATTGAAAGACTGTGGTGAATTTAAAGATAAAGACCTTGCTTTAAGTGCATTATGTCTATTAAATGCACTGTGTCTTTACATTCTCTAACAAGATACGAATTTAAACAGTTGTGAAAAAAGGGATGAATGAATGTATGGCAATTCTGTGCTCCTTTCTCTGATGGAAATGTGAAAATATAATGAAAAGAGACGAAGAGTTGGGAATACTTATATTCTAACTCCAACTCTTATACTTACACACATTAAATGAAACCTAGTGGTAGTAGAACTAATTCAGAAAACTAAAAATCTAAAATAGTAATAAAAGAGGACCTTCAAGATGGTAGAGGAGTTAAGACGTGGAGATCACCTTCCCCCCACAAATACATCAAAAATACATCTACCTGTGGAACAACTCCTACAGAACACCTACTAAATGCAGGCAGAAGACCTCAGACTTCCCAAAAGGCAAGAAACTCCCCCACGTACCTGGCCATGTGGCTGACAGGGTCTTGGTGTTCCAGCTGGGTGTCAGCCATCAGCCTCTGAGGTGGGAGAGCTGAGTGCAGGACAAGGGACCACCAGAAACCTCCAGGCCCTACGTAATATCAATCCGCGAGAGCTCTCCCAGAGATCCCCGTCTCAATGCTAAGACCCAGCTCCACTCAACGACCAGCAAGCTCCAGTGCTAGACACCCCATGCCAAACAACCAGCAAGACAGGAGCACAGCCCCACCCATTAGCAGAGAGGCTGCCTAAAATCATAAGCTCACGGACACCCCAAAACACACCACCTGACGCAGTCCTGCCCACCAGAAAGAAAAGATCCAGCCTCATTCAAC